AGACACCCACTCGGTAAACTCAGAAAAAGCACTGCAAAAATATAGCAAGTAGGATTGTTGATTAAGTTCTAATAAATGAGGAAGGATAGAGGTATGTAGAAGATGAAAGGGAGAGAGGAGATAAATAATGTGTGTGTGTGTGTGAGAGAGAGAGAGAGAGAGAGAGAGAGAGAGAGAGAGAGAGAGACCCCTTCACAATGTATAAATGAACCTATTATTTTCCTAATGACTAATATACAAGCTTTAAAATGCTCGCATGCATTCTTGCACAGTACCCAGGATTGAACTCAGGGGCACTCAACCACTGAGCCCCATCCCCAGCCCTTTTTTCTTTTATTGAGAGACAGGGTTGCTTAGCACCTCGCTTTTGCTGAGGCTGGCCTTGAACTCAAATCCTCCTGCCTCAGGCTCACAAGCCACTGGGATTATAGGCATATGCCTCTATGTCTCGCTTAATTCAGGTTTTTGACTCACCAATTTTTCTGAACATTATGTTCATTATCGTTTAGGTACAACACTATCCAGAAGTCAGCCCTTAAGCAAGTACTAGCTGCTCACTCTGAGTAAGCAATTCCATTTTAGAAAAGGGGGGTTATAATCAGCAAAGCCTATAGTAATCTCGGGTTCTAAGGCTCTCCCTTCTCCAGTCTTCACTCTCCTTCTCTGCTGTGACTTGTCACTGAGAATAAGTAAAGATATGACAGACAGATCTGCAGACTGTGATTCTTCACAACACCCAGGTTTTTAACTCCATGGGTGAGGTCCATGTTAAGAGCGGTATACAGGGGTGGGGTTGTGGCTCAGTGGTAGAGTGCATGTGTGAGGCCCTGGGTTCAATCCTCAGCACAACATAAAGATAAATAAATACAGGTATTGTGTCCATCTAGTACTAAAAAAATATTTTTTTAAAAAAAGCTGTATACAGTAACAAGCTATAGTTTTTTCAATGAAAAGTGAAATACTGTGATGGTCAAACACAAATAGGCCAGGAAAATAGCTATCATAAAGTGAGGCAGCTCAAAGAACCAAAGGATGATTAGTGATGCAAGGAAACTTAAGAAAAGGATATATTAATTTAAATTTTCTGGACAATTTTGTTTTACAGAAACTCAGATAACCGAAATCACAGTAGTTAACTGTCTTCTCCCCACCAAACCACTTACATGTTTCAAGAAAACAATAGCTAAATATTTAATAATTATTACATTAATATTTAATGGGGAAATGATTATGACTATGAAGTTACTTTTATATCAACATATTAAAAGACCAGAATATTACTTGTGTCCATTTCATAAGATTCAGAATGAAATTACAGTTACAAAAACTAGTTTCTGAAGGTTTTGTCACTGCTTTTCATTGATCCTAATTCTCATGTGATGCCAAGTGAAGATGAGAATAATGCTTACCTACAGGTACACACAATATGATCTAGACATGCATGTGCAAAAACAACAGAGGCCTGGAGGGACAGAAAGGAAGATTCCTGGATCACTTTCCACTCCGGTGGAAGCAACAGAATGAAAGGCTCAAGAAGTACTTTGATGATCGTATGGTTAAACTTAATAAATAAAACCATTTCAAAGAAAATTCTGGGTTCAAATGTTCTTCCACATGAGAACTGGAGTTTCTGCAAAGGTGTTGGTTGTCAAACACAGTTTACAGGGACCCATATAACTCACTTATATTTCTCATTGATGTTAGAAATCCTCCAGGCGTTGTTCATATCAAAACCCATTCGCTCCACTTCATTCTTAAACCTTGACGTTACATGCTCCCCTAGGGACCACAGACAACAGAAAGGAAAAAATGAATATCATTTTGCAAAACAGAATAAAACCATGGTTACCTTGTTCCATTACAGTTAAAAATATGTTAAAAGACAGGAATTGTATAAATAAGTCCAAGTTAAGATTTTTATGAAGAAAAAGGAAAAAAATTTAACTTTGATCAAGAATTGACTTATGTAATCTCTAATATCAACTATGAGGGCAACAGTGCATAGCTCATTTTACAGAGAACAAACAGACTGACAGATTATTATGGCTTATCTCTCTGGCCCTAAAACACATGTTCCTTCTTTTGACCATACTGGTCACTTTCATACTTCCACACTCAGACTGACATAATAAATAAAATTAATTAACAAGATCACCAGGAGTAATAATGATCTACAATACTTCATTTGAAACCTACTGTGTCTCATTTCAGAACTTGAGAATTTTCTGAATTTTAAGATTGTGCATATATTATACTATTAAGTTCATGATCTCAACAGGAGCTAGTAAAGCATTGATTTTTTTTTTTCTTTTTGTATACCAGGGATTGAACTTGGGGGCACTAAACCATTAAGCCATATCCCCAGCCCTATTTTGTGTTTTATTTAGAGAAAGGGTCTCCCTGAGTTGCTTAGGGCCTTGCTTTTGCTGAGGCTGGCTTTGAACTTGCAATCCTCCTGCCTCAACCTCCAGAGCTGCTGGGATTATAGGCATGCACCACCATGCCTTGCTGAATTTTTTTCCCCCTCAGTGAACTACATGGGTAATTCATACCAAGTGGGATTAATAAAGCTACAAGTAGTTTCCTGTCAGCTCAGATCAGGTCAGGTCAAGTCAAACAGTAAGAGAAGCCTTTTGGTTTTTAGAGACTTTGAGATTACAGAACTACAGTAGTAGTCATGGAATCCCAATTGCCATTACCCAAATGCACCAGGAAACACAATACTAAATTAAAGTGCTTGCTGGGCTCAGTGGCACACATCTGTTATTACAGAAACTTAGGAGGCTAAGACAGGAGGATCCCAAGTTCAAGACCAGCCTCAGGAACTTAGCAAGGCTATAAGCAACTTAAGGAGACCCTGTCTCAAAATGAAAACCAAAAAAGGCCGGGGGTATAGCTCAATGGTAAAATGCCTCTGGTTTCAATTCCTAGTACCCAAAAATAGGTAAAATCTGGCTACTTTGCATTGATGAATTTGGCTTTTTTCCTCATATGATAGCAATAAAGGTAAAAATGTACCTAACATAAAAGTCAGTAAGTCTGAAATATCTTCTTCCCTAAAACCACATTTACTAGAGAAATAAAATTATTAAAACAAAAACATTAGCAGACCCCTAACATACACAACCTGGTGTTACAGGTTGTAAAATAAATGCTGGTGAGGGCTGAAAGAAATCACCATGACAAATAAAAGCACAAAACAGACTGCTTTGATGATCAAAGCATAAAGCTTTCCTCTCCCTGGGAGAGGAATTACAGAATAGAAAACAGCAATTACTTGAATGAAGGACAATTCTATAAAACTACTTCCCATTTAAACTGCTTTTCTTGAGCTTAGACTAGGTATTATGTATTTCCTGAAGGAGAACTATAAAAAGATGATGTTCAGAGATGCAGAGAGAAATAATAGCTGAATCTGCTCCATTTAGAAAAGTTTTAGAAGCAATGTAGTAGGTTTCCAAATAGGAAAGAAAAAGCTATCCAAATGGGGTGCCATCTGTCAACAAATTGCAAGGAATATTGACCATGAAGAACAAAACAGGAAGTCTTTCATTCAAAAATCAAAATCTAAAGGCTGTAAAACTGGCAAATTCCAAATTCAGTAATGAAAGAAAAGATTCCTCCTTCTTCCTGGTAACATGTCCAAAATATTGCAAAGGCAAAAATACCTTTATTAAGGATGTTTTACATTAGTCTCTCCATCATAGCCAACATAAAGATCTTGTGATTTAAAAACAATCACTGGCAATAACCTACTATAACTACTAGCAACAATTTGCCACATAGAACCAACAGTTAAAGAAGGGCTTAGAATCACCACCCAGAGCACAAAATTCTGATCTTCACACAGAAAAATAAATACTGATTAATGACCATAGAAAATTTGTTATTTTATGTTATCCTATAAATCAGTGATCTTCACAAACTTTGAAACTATCATGACCCACAATATGAATTACATTGAAGTTTACATCACAACACAGTTTAAAATATTTTTACATTTATATTTTTGAAAGATTTTCACAAACAATACCCTTACCATGTGTGTGATGCATTTTGACATTTCTCATTTTAATTCATTTCTTTACAATTTGATTTCATGACCAATCAGTGAATGCTTTTTTAAAAAAAATCTGGGCTGGGGTTGTGGCTAGTAGCAGAGCGCTTGCCTCGCACATGTGAGGTACTGGGTTCAATCCTCAGCACCACATAAAAATAAAAAAAAATAAAAATTTAACAGCAGATCTTATAGACAAGAGTAATTCAGCTTTTGAAATTTGTGTTAAATGTTCACTATGTTTATTTAGCCAGAAAAGTGAATAAACATATTATATTCCTCATAAGAATTTCTACCTCAGCATTCCCATGTCTTAATTTATTCAACATTGTATACTTTGTAATATCAGAACTTATTTTAAATATTGTGACTGTAAGGTTTTTGTTTGGCTTTATATTTCCATTTCAACTCTTCCTGTCTGCTTCCTTCACTCCCAAATGGGGATCTGTCTCTTGTTAATGCTTAATATTTCTTATACTACAATTATAGACAATCCAACAATTTTCATTTCAATTTTCATTTCACTGGAGATAAAACGTACTTTAAAAAATAAGTTCCCTCTATCATAATCACAGAATCAATCTACATTCAAAAAAAATTCTTCCCCCCAAAATCTAGCTCATTGGGTGATTCTAGGTATTAAAACCCACAATACACACATGTCAAAGGCCTAGGATAAAAGAGATAGGCTCTTACCCAGCATGTGAGGAAGCAAACCCTACCAGACTCAGAGGGGTAAAAATTAGGTCTCCAAATTTTCAAATATGGAGGGAAGAATCACCCTTTTATATGTACAGAGATCCCAGAGAGTCCTCTAGGTACATACTTCCTGGGCTGTATTCAAGCCTGGATAAGACTGAGACTTATATGCTGTTAATGGAAAAACAAGAGGCACTTAATGGGCATTTCTCACCTGATGCTAAACTAGTAGTTGAACTGCCCAATCATCTGTCAAGACTCTAGACTAATGCTCTAATACAGAGGCATCACCAAGAAGCCAGCTGCAGTGAGGAGCAGGAAGCTGAAAGACATGGGAGAGAAGCTAAAGCTTTGAATCCATTCCTTGTATAAAGTGTGAGATGGGGCTAAGGACAGAATCAAGGGTTTGGTGAAAACTTTTACAGGTTTCACCACTGAACTCCAATAGCAATGCTAAGACTTTTTCCAAAGCTGATTAAGACCTAGAGTTATGGCCACAGTATCGTTGGCTTAACTAAAATTTATATTAGTACCAAGATAATCGTGTGTTTTGGCCATTTTCCTCCTCTCTGATACATTCTAATCTTATCAAGCTAGGTGCAAAGAACTGATAAAAGGCTTTATTAACTGCTGAAAGACTATTAACTCTCAGGCTATGCTTGTGATCTCACATATTGAGGCAGATTATACAAAGGCATCACTTTAAAAAATCTCAAGTGTTGTCTCACCTTTCAGATGACTTATTAGAATGTGGCTGTCTGGTATGCTCATAAACGGTGAGTAATGAATGCTGTAGCCACAACCAACACTCAACAATAGTGGGTGGAGACAGGAGAACTAGGTGAACTGGCTTTTAAAAATACCACGAGTATTATGTTTCTTATTGAAAGCAAATTTTTCTTCTGTAGTCCATAGTGAAAATACATAAAAGGACAAAAGCCATAATACAACACACTTAAGGTCACTAAAATACAATAACATTCCATGTGAGCAGGGGCAGGTTGATTTCAGCATGGACCCTGTGTCTTGGGAAGGAACAAAGGGTAACCTTTACTCAGAGAATCTCCAACATTGGTTATGACAGCATTACCTTGTAAGTTGCATAACTTTCAAAGAGTCTTCACAAGCATTGAAGATAGGAGGCACCCAAAACATTTACTGAACTGAACTCTGTAGCATTAAAAGATTTGCTCTTTAGGACATCCAGCTGAATCAGTACGGACAGGAAGAGTATGAATATCCCAGTATGAAGAACAAAGGAGACCCAAGTGCAGAAAGGATGAATGACTTATCTGATACTATTTTCAAATAAATAGTATAGGTTTAAATTCAGGTTTTTGAACTCCAAAATCAGAACTTTACCACTTACATGTATAATAAGCCTGTGGGAAGACAGAGGACAATGTAGATATCTCTAAGTCCTGATGGCCAAGAAACCAGACATTATCAGGAAGAGAAAAACTTGGGGACCCCTCTTAGGGCAAAGCTACCCATAATTAAAAAGAGTGGGGTTCTGACTTAGCACATGTTAGGAATACCCTAAGAGTTGGCTTAAATATAAAAGAAACTGAAAGTATCAAGGGAATAAATAAATCTTCTTTAAAAGATGGGGACTTGGGGCTGGGTTATGGTTCAATGTATAGCGTTTGCCTAGCATGTGTGAAGCACTGGGTTCAATTCTCAGAACCACATCTAAATAAATAAACTCAATTAAGGTTCACTGATGACTAAACTTTTTTTTTTTTTTTAAATGAGGACTTTTCAGTGAAAGGAAAGGACAGAAGAAAGTAAGCCTTATTGACAAAAGCTGACAACCCCAAATTGGGGAATGTCCTAAACATTGGGGGATCCTAAACAAATCACAATTCTTATATAACATTATGAAGTATGATGCACTCTTAAATAAATTCATTATCCTAAGAGATGGTGGAAACTAAAAATTTAATAAATAAGAGGCAATGATTAAAAACTCAGAAAACATAACACGTAAGATTCATACACTTTGTTGCCTGTAAACTTGACCATTAAAATCCTCCAAACTTGAAAAGAGCCATAAACAAATCCAAAAATAAATTTAAAATATGACAGCATCTCAAGAAAAATGAAAAACAGGAAAAAGAGGGGGCACCTATCAAGAAAGGAAAGTGAGAAACTTTCAAGGTGGGGACTGTTTCTTGTGAATGACTGGGTTCCACCAGCATAGACAGGCTCAGTAGACTGTGGATTCTGAGGCTGCCCGCCAAGGCTCCATGAGGGTAGGTACCTCTGCTCTTCACAGTAGGTAGCCATAGCACCCCACACCTTGGCTTTCAAGAACTGAGAACTGGTTTTAAGTCCTACCTTGCTTACTGACTAGTAGTAGAACATGGCAACAGGTTTTACCTTTAAGCTCCCCATTTCTTGTGTTTCTTTCCTTTTTCTGAGTCTCCATTTCTTGGCTCCTAAAACAAGGATACCAACCTATCCTGCCTGATTGATGAAGTCATAAGAATCAAGCAAAAGTATATATCAAACATCATTTAAAGTAAGACAAGGCTTATGTTTGTCATAAGCATTTTTATTAAATAGGACAAGAATCTGAACCAAAAGCTTCCATTCCATCATTGATGGGTCAGGAAACAAAGTAATATAAACATAGCCCCTTTAGCCTCAAATGTTTTAAATGACCAGGGCAGACACCAAAAATTGAAGATTCAGTATTAAAATTTCAGGTTTAAAGAAAAAAGTCCAAAAAGTAAGGGAGCTTACAACTTTCCACTGCTTTTAAATTCAATACACACTGAAGAGTTGTTGTTGGACCAGCAAAGTTCCACTTATGGGAGCATAACATTTACAGAAAACTGCATGCAGAGAAATAACATGATCTTGGTCAAAGCCACTTCAGAGGGAGAAAGAAACTGAAAGAGACAAGGACTATATGAGGATTCAGGAAATCTGGGTTTTAGTACTGGCTCAGCGTCTCTGTATTTGTCAGTGAGGAAGACAAATTTGCCTTTCTGGATTTCTTGTTTCTTCATCTTTGGGCAGAAAGGGGTAACTACTGCTAATTTTTGCCTTGAAAATTCTATGAGAGCAAAAAGCTATTTTGTATTCCCTATTCTCAAACCTGTGTACCTCTATTCATGCTACTTGCTATTTAATGTTCCCCATTCTCTAATCAATGAGCACCTATTCAACCTTCAAAGCCTACTCAAAAGCCTTTTTTTTTTTTTTGGATTGGGGATTGAACCCAGAGGTCCTTAACCACTGAGCAACATCCTCAGTCCTTTTTTATATTTTGTTTAGAGGCAAGGTCTCCCTGAGTTCCTTAGGGCCTCACTAAGTTGCTGAGGCTGGCTTTGAACTCATGATCCTCCTGCTTCAGTCACCTGAGTCACTAAGAATACAGGTGTGTGCTACCTCACCCGGCTCAAAAGTCATTTAATGTGAAGTCTTCCCAAACTTATACACAAAACTCAAAACTCCCTTCAAATGGGATTCCATAATACCCATGAACCTTATTATAGTTGCTTTTAGGTATAGAACACAATACCAAATCTTTTATTCTTCCCTTCCCCTGACAACAATATGTTCTTAAAAGGATTAGAAGAAAATAGGCACTTGCTATGATCCATAAAATATACATTGATTGGAATATAAGAGTACTAAGACACCCCATTTTGTATTAAGGTTACCTCCAGCCCCATTTTAGAAAGGGTTACCTGGTCTGCACAGGTCTCCATGTTGCTCTTTTTCACTGGCGTAGACCTCCATGCACCAAGCATGATATGCAAATGAGAAGAGATCTTCTATTTTAGCAGGTGGTCTGATTGCATTGTTCAGTCGCTTAAGCCAATCTTGACACTGTTCAAAGGTTGAGAACTGACACCTTTGTAAAGTCAAACAAGTATGAATATAATCAGATGACAGCTGACTATGAAATCTAAGGCACCATTTTGAGAGTGTCTATTTATAGTGAACTATTAACTGAACAGAAAGCATCAAAGGCAATCATTTACATATTCACTACTGTTTATAATAAAAAACAGTTCCAAAAATTTTTAGCCAGCAGTGCAAAATATCAAAAAGACGAGAGCTTGGGGCTGGGATTATGGCTCAGCGGTAGAGTACTCGCCTCGCACCACATAAAAATAAAGGCATTGTGTTGTGTCCATCTACACCTAAAAAATAAATAAATATTTTTTTAAAAAAGACGAGAGCTGGACATTGGAAAATCTGATAATCTAATGAAACCTCTCCTTATAATGATTAATTATAATAATTAAAATAAAATTGCAGTTATTGTCTTTCAGAACGAGATTTCATTCTACTTCTTCAATCAGTATTATGGTGTCCTTTCAAGAAATATATTTAGAAGAGTCCTTTTAGTTTTGTTATGACATTTTAGACCAAGGTTAAAAAACAAACAAACAAAAAAAAAAACACACACACACAAATACTACTTTTAGCCAGCTAGGGAGTAATCAAAATTTGTCTGTTTAGCAATGAGGACAAATCAGCATGTCTGGATACAAATAAGACAGATTACATTGAAATTTTCAGCTGTGAACATGCAGAGAACAAAACAAATTCTATTTTATCAATTGCAATTTTCATTATGTACAATTAAAAGGTTAAAATAATAAATGCAAACTGTTTTTTAGCAATTAAGTATTTGAGGTTTAAGACTGAGTAATTAATAAGCAAACTTTGTAAAACTATGAGTGATAGTCACTATCATCATAAGCAAACCAAATCTCACTGGCTAACATGCAACTTAAATATTTACTTGAAAACTAATAAGGACAGCATTTATACCTTCCTTGTCCCAATCAATCTGACTCATCGAAATGCTGACATACAATGCTTATTGGTATCTCAAAACAGGTCAAAGGGATAAAATAAACATGTTCAGAATTTAAAATTTCTAGAGCTACTAAATTTAAAAGGCACATTTCAGATATCATTCTGCAACCATTATAGTTAAAATTAGATGAGATAAAAAAATCAATGAGTGGTAAATTTATGGAAAGTTTTGATGAGAAGCAAGACATTTTCTCAGAGTGTTTCCCTAGACTATATTAGTTGTAAGAAAGAAAATATAGAAATTACACTGAAATCAGATGACGGCTTGATTGAAATAATCAAAATTCACCAATGAGGAACAAGTAGGCTGTTCACCTCTGGATGTAACACAATAATGCCCTGAAAAGGGCACAATACAAAATTCCAACTGAATACACAGTATTCCAGCTGGGAATGTATAACATCAATTTAATCTTGATGAAACATAGGACAAACACAAAATAAGAAACATTCTATTAAAAGATAAGACCATATTCTTCAAAATGTATATGTCACAAAAGACAAAGAAAGGCTGTTGTGGAAAATGTTCCAGATTAAAAGAAGGCTATTGAATTATGGCAACTAAATGTATTTATTATCTGAGCTACACTGGATTCCCACACTGAATGAGGTGGGTCAACTACCAAAATTGGAACATGGATTTGGGGCTGGGGTTGTGGCTCAGTAGCAAAGCGCTCGCCTAGAACAGGTGAGGGACTGGGTTCGATCCTCAGCACCACATAAAAATAAATTAATAAAAATAAAGGCATTGTGTCCACTTACAACTAAAATTTTTTTAAAAAGGGATCATGGATAGTAGACTGGATAACAGTATTACCAATGTAAAACTGTGATGTTGAGAATGATACCACGGTTATGGAAGAAAACATCCCTATTCTTAAGAAAGCACTCTAAAGTATTTTGGGATTAAGAATCATGTTTCCGTCACTTACTCTCAATTTGTTCAGGAAATTCTCCTCCCCTCCCACACACCCCCACCTAAACACACACACATCATAATACTCAGAAGGGTTCTGGGAACCATAAAGCAAATTGGGGTAAAGTGTTAACTACAGGTGACTCTGTTGTTCACCTGTTATACTATTCACCTTTTATGCTGTTTTTATTTTTGCACTTTAAAAAACTTGAAATTATTTCCAAATGAAAAATAAAGCATTTGTCAACATAAGCAAAATATTCAAAAAAAATATTGTAGGAACTACTCAAAAAATATTCCTAACAGTGCTTACTTTCAAGAAGATATTTTGCCACGTTTACCAAACCATATATTCATTTTTTTAAGGTGTAGATGGACACAATATCTTTATTTTGTTTTGTTTGTTTTTACGTTGTGCTGGGGAATGAACCCAGTGCCTCACCCATGATAGGCAAGCACTCTAACACTGAGCCACAACCCTGGCCCCTTCATTCTTTAAAAAACATTTTCCACACAAAACAAGCGGCACAAACGTACCTTATAACTTTGCAGTCTTTGCAAGTCAAATGAAGCTGAAATATATCTCGGCATTCAACGCTTTCTATAAGCTGTAATGGAACCTGTAATTTAAAAAGATGAAGTCCCTTAGTCAAAAAGGTTCTTCAGTGTACCCAGCAAGACTGATTAGAAAGATCTCCTGGGGGAAGAAGCAAAAAAAAAAACCCTGTAAATTTAGCAGAATTAATAGTACCCAAGTGATCAACTACAAAGTGAATTAGGGCTTTCCTTATTCTACATAAATAGCCTCAAGCCATGTCATGGCAAGGGGAGGAACAAAGGGGAGGAACCACCTCTGGAAAAACAGTGTAATTATGTCACTTGAACATCAAACTCACAAGCTCATCTCTCAAAGTACTACTTTTACAGTTTTTGCTGCCTATGATTTGCAATGACACAGAAACTGAAGGGTACTGGAGTAATAGTCCAGTCTTGCTTATAATAAAGAATCACAGAACACAGTGCAAGTGAGACTCTATTGGAATATTGATAAATGGAGTGGGCTTATGATTTAGTGGCAGAAAGGAGGCTTGTGAAAAAGCTGGAAGTCTGAACTGCCTGTAGGTTGCAAAGAAGAGACAGGACAGTAGCTCCTGGTCCAGCTCTCAGCTCAGCAGGATAGACCCACAGGAATCAGAAGGAAGGGAGAAGGTCACACAGTGGTCAAGACAGTAGGTACAACTTGCTTCAATGGACCAGCTGAAGAACCCTGTTTGCCAAGTAGGGCTTGAGAGATCTGAGCAGGCTGTAATGGTTCTCCCCCTGAAGATCTGATCAACAGAGTGTACTTGAACACAGGATTGTATGAATAATGAATAGGATCAGAGACAGGAGGGAAAGCATCTGAACGGGGTGCAAATCTTAAGGGTGACATGAGGATCCTTCTCCCTCTGTCCCCGAAATCATCCTGACTCAATAACTGGCTTCAAAAAGCAGTTTCCAAGCCTTCAAAACAGAGGCTGGTAAATTAATAAATGGATATTTTTATCCCTTGGGAAAGTAGTGGATCACTTGTCTTTTACACTATATCAAGCCCAGCCAAAATTTGGCTCTAGGAGTTGCAAGCAGCCTCCCAACAATTCTTGGTTAGCTTGAGAAGGATACAGCCTCCTCCAAAGCAGAGACAAGAGTTCTACCTGCACAGGGTGGCCCTCATGTCAGCTGAATCAGTTTCAGAAACAGGCTTTCTGCAAACCCTGCCTCACCATGCAGCTGCCATAGTCAGCAGAGAACTCTGAAAACAAGGATGCAGAGATCAAAAAGAAGCCCAGTGCTGGAAATCTGAAACAAAGAAACAGAAACTGGGCCAGGAATTAAAAAAGAGAAGAAAGCAAAATAATATTGCTCAGATGAATGGCTGTGAGTTTTTACCTCAGGGCTAAAGCCTCTTGCTTCTAAATCTATAATCTATAAAAATTCCCTTAGAGTTGTAGTAAGACTGGGAATAAGGACAAAGACTAAGAAATCTTGCCTGTGTTCTGAGAAAAAAAAGAAACTTTTGGCTTTCAGTTTTTGTTTAAGTCCTTAACCCCAAGGTGTTGTGAGAAACTGCAGCCGATGTGGCTAAAATTCTTTCAAGACCTGTACAACTAAGAAGGAAAGAAAAAAAAATGTCAGTAGAGATAAATTATAAAGAAGGAACATGGAGATTAAGAAGATAGAGATTAGAAGATGACACTGATTTGTTCTCAGGCCAGTCCTTTTGGTGCCCTGTAATAGACTCTCATTACTTTATTTATTTTTTAAATGTACTCCCACTATACATTTAGATAATGATGCCTTAAAAAGTGTACATCTGACACTCAAAACCAATTTGTTCCAAGCACAGGTGCAGTAACCACCTAGGATTCTCATTCTACCTTGCCCCCACCCCCACAAAAAGTGGCTAGCTGACAGGCAAATGAGAAGCCTGAATTCTAGGCTTGTTTTTCTAAAATTTTACCAATTAAAAATTTGCCTGCTTCCTGGCTTCCTTGAATGAACCTCCAGACCCCTTATATGCCACCAGCTTCTGCTTTCTAAATTTCAGATGGTCACAATTTACTAGGTCTCATGTACAAGACCTGGAGTGAAGTGATAGTTTTAATAATCCACATGGAGAGGCTGCTCTCCAGTAGTCACCTGCATCCCAGGTCCTCTTCAATTGCCTTTCCTTATAGCTATTAGCTGTTGGGAGAATGTTATCAGCCTGTGCTACATTATTACAAATAACAGACAAGTTTTACATCTCTACTATTGGACCAGAGCCCAAGGGCCTGAGTCCAAACTCCCAGAATAAGAATTAAAACCCCCCAGAGCATGCAAAATATCTGCTACCTAAAGTGCATTCAATAAAATTTGTATGAATCTTAACATTGCAGTTGTAAAGAATAATAATAAAAATGTTGGTTCTATGTTTCAAATCAGATTAGAGATACTAGACAAGACACCAAAACCAACAATGTGTTCTCAAGTCAGATATACAGAAAAGCGGATTTTAATACTCATGCAAACTATCACATGCAGGGGAGTTTAATATGTAGCAAGAACAAGGACATTTAAAAGAGAAACATCTAATTTTGTATCAATAAATGCTTCCTTTTTTCACTTCTCCATTTGTCCTCTCTGATTTGTCCTCTCTTCCTTCTAAAAAAGGCAGAATTGGCCACCTTTTCCTCTTTGACATTCAACTATACCTTTTTTCTACTTTAAGACCTACCACATGGCTCTAGTTTTCTTAACATTTCTCACCTATGGAAAGGATCTCTTACCATTTCTATGACTAAACATATGCACTACTCAGCCTCATAAACAAAGAATCAAATATTCAAGTCCAGTCTATTTCCTAGCCCAGGTTGGTTGAAATACACTATAAGCAAGCAGCAAAGTCTGGGTTAGAATTCCACGCTGCCTTTTAACCCAGGTTCCTTCGACCACATATGGTGTGACTTTCTTTCTTCCCCTAAGACTGACTGCCCTTCTGTTTAATACAAGATTTCCTTCACTTTACTTCCAAAAACAAAAATTTGGTTTCTCTACCAGGGATCGTCAGGAGGAGAATTTAAAATAAAGATTCCTCAGAAGCAATTCCATCTGCAAAGGAAATAGAAAATCACTTTCAAACCTTCCCCAGACCAATGATTCGATGTTTCAAACAACTCATTTTCTTTTTGCTTCTTTCTCTTCCATCTTCTACTTGTCAGGTAATTCTATCTTTTTACAGTGCATTTGGTCTAACAAATTCCACCAAACTCATGCTCAAACAATGCATAAAACATTTGGTACTGTTAATCAAATCCTCAAAAGGCCAAAAGTTACACTTTACAGGCACCAAAACCCAAGAGCATCAATCCACAAAAGCAAAAAAGAAGCAATTTAAAAATTTAATAGACATGCATAGGTATTAAAGACCCGTAGTACTGTCATATTCATGAGGGATCTGACATCATCATACTCTAGTTTAACTCTTGAATTCATTCTGGGTGTGTGTGTGTGTGTGTGTATATATGTGTGTGTGTGTATGCATGCATGTGTATTATTTTCAAGCACCAGGATTTAGAAGTGGAATAATTTCTACCTTTTAAAAAAAAAGCACTCTTTTCATAATCTGAATGAGAAGTATTAATTTGTACATATGAAGTAACACTGACAGTAACACAGTAAAAATAATAATTCTAATGATAAAATATAAAGTAAAATGGAATATCTAGGCACCCAATCTAATCAGAGGAGGAAAAATACATAAATGCAAGCTATCTTCTTCCAGCCCTGATTTCAGATGCCTCAACTATTATATGAATGCTACGCCAAAATATACTCAAGTATTAACAATAACCTCCTCCTGGTAATATGGGGAATGAAGGTGATTGTTGAAGGAAAATGCAGACTGCAAAGAAAAGGTTTTCTAAACTACTATATTTCCACACTTTTTTCCTAACAGGCATTGACAGATTGGCTTGAAAACCGGAAGTTTAATGTCCTCTTAAATACAAATGTTGATTTTACAAATTATTTCTAGCTAAAACTCAGATTACATTTCCATCACTTATGTATAAACTATGGGCCTTAATCTTCACCCCACAATCTGTTCTCATCAAAGCATACCACTAGAACAGGAAAGCAAATCATGCAGAGAAGACACATTTTGCTGATTTGCAAACTGTACATCTGACACTCAAAACCAATTTGTTCCAAGCACAGGTACAGTAACACCTAGGATTCTCATGCTACTTACTGGGATTTCAGAAGCAGCAGATTGAGAAGCAGTCTATTGAATTATACAACAAAAAATTGTTTTAAACTTTCATAAATTTCACTTGAACATTTCTTTGTTTATATATTATCTAAGTTTCAAAGAAATATACCTGCATATATGTAAAAATATAGTTTTGGAAAAAAACTAAGAATGGAAGCAATTCATACCTTAAATGTTACATACAAACTCTATTACAGAGATTGTTTACCCTCGGAATTGGAACCTTGATATTTAGTGAATATGTGTAGATTAAGGTAATGATGTTCATGGTATCTAAATCTACTGACACATTTTACTCAATGTGATATGAAATTAAAAGAGAATACATGATATCAGGTAGCTTTTTAAAACTTAATGGCAAGTCATTTTCTAAAGTGATAAATGATGTAAAGTGGGGCATGCTACAACACGGAAAGGCACATTTCGATACTAATGGCTTAAAGATTATTACATCCAAATCAAACATTTAACAGGGGTTTCTTGATCTCCTATGTTTTACTAAAGTATTTATTTGCTGAGGAAAGGACAAAGGGAGGGAGGTGAGAAACAACACTATCAATAACCCTCTGATTTCCACCCATGTCTGATGCAGGAGAAGTCATTATTTCCTGGAATAACTTGAGGTTCCAAAAATCTAATGCTATGATGAGATTAACATATTAGTATGGAGAAAGGCTGATCTATCTAAATAGGAAGTGTTTATAGACACTACAATGTCAAAATATTTTTGCACAACCATCTTTTTGTGCAAAGCCATTATTTTGGGCTTTTAAGTGGCATGTAGGCTCTAAGCCTTAGAATTATAATGCTAGAGAAAACATGTATATGAGGAACTGGGTCCAAAAGTAAGAGCAGTGGTAAGTTTCCTTAAGCATAATTCTTCATCTGTAAAAGGGACCCACAATTCCAGTAAACAACCTACACATAGAGCTACTATTTGAGACAAAAACCACACATACACACAAAATATACAGGCCTATTCCCATAGAAATACATTGTTTTAAAATGAACTATAAATTCAAAAAGGGGAAAAAATTGTTCAATGTCTATTTCAAATTCATAATAACTTCAATTAACTTAATATCTATTAGATAGCAAAACATCAGGAAACAAGCTGGATCCTGGAGATACAAAGATGAAAACCAAAAAATTACAATTTGCCTAGTAAATATTGTAAAGATATGCTCAAGATAAAGAAGAGGCCACATGACTATAATTAACTGTCAGGAAAGGAATGAGGACTGAGCAAGGCTTTTTAGAGGAAGTTGTAACCTGAAGTGGGTTTTGAGAGATGAAGAGATGTTTGCTGAGCAGGAAAGAAGGGAGAGATAAGAAGTAAAACTGAAGTAAAGACAAGTATGAGGTATGACTGACCAGTCCAAGGAGGCTGGTTTTACTAGTACAAAGGGTGATAAGGGGGGAAGAAAAACGTAGAAAAGCTAGCAGGGACTCAAAGATCACTGTCTAACATCATGCAAAGTAATTTGATTTTCATCTTAGAAATAGAAAAGAAACACTGAAGGGCTTTAAGATAGTGAATGGCAAGACTCTCCAACCAACCATTCCCAAAATAGATGTAAAACCAGTTAAAACCCCAAATGCTGATAATACAGTATGGCATGGGAAAATGCAATGACATGAAACTATCATTTTCACACGCAATTTACTTTTACTGAAATAACTTCATTGATTCCATCCATTTAAAACACTGAAAGAACACAAAATTAAATTGTGTAGTTCTATTAATTATTACTTCCATAGTAGATGACAGGAAATTTTTGATGGCTGAGATTTTAGAATTTCCACCTTTTCTTTCCCATCATACACTCAAATCCAAATGGATCTTCCTGATCATAATGCTATATGGTATAGAAGATAAGTATTGCCTCATTCCTTGATGAATTTGGCACATACTTTTAACTGATGGACAGAAAATTGATGTAACAGCTAAGATTGTAGCCCAAATATAGAATCCAGAGGAATTCAGGTCAAAAGGGCTCCTGAAAATAAATGCATAACTACAAAAAGAGATTAGATTAGATTAAATTAGATAACACATACTAAGAAAATGGCAGCCACTGACTCATGGTAAATCAAAGAGGATTTGGGTAACTTTTGGACTGGTGAGTAAAGTGAATAAAAGTGACAGATCTCAAAGAACCACAAAATGAAAACCAAAACACAATCTGAATGGGATATAATACTGACCTCTTATTAGGTGTTATAATATATTTCTCTGCGCTAGCACTGACATGCAGAAAACCACAATACTAGCAAATGAAGAATGCATTTGTTTTGTGCAAGTACGACTTTTGTGCCTCTGTGGGTTTCATTTAAATCTACTAATGACAGCAGTACACTGAAAGATCCAGTTCACTGAAAAGACCCTCATAATTGAAAAAGGGTAAGTATTCCCTTGAGAATTCCTTTTCTTTGGTAATATATGGTCCATTATGCAAATAAATATTGCACTTAACATCTATACTTATACCACTTAGGAGCCATTAGAGTAACTTCATCCTATAATGAGTCTGCAGTGAGCTCAAAGCACATATCATCTGACATTAAGGCCCAGGAAGTAGTTGGTAACTACTAACAATTAAGGAATAAAAGCTTATTCAGACTCTGTACTTTTATAAAGCTTAACATAAGGCATTACTTAGTGCAAATTATTCAGTTTTAACTAAACATTGAACACCTCAGCTGACAACTAAATACATCATTTTAAATAAGGCATAAGAATTGCTGACTGACTAAATGTCCTTCAAGTGCAAAACAGAAAAGCAGAGCACACAATGCTCGCACACACCCAAATCCTGTATGTCTCTGAGTACACTACAAAGTTTTTTCAACTTAAACTTTCTATGTCTACCTTAGAGACAGTAGTCAGTAATCACTTACATTAACAAGAGACTCCTTGAACTTGATGTGAAGTCTATAATTTGAAAGGGCAATGATGGCATCCTCAGCACGACCCACATACTCTGTGCTCTCTCCATGAAGTTCAAGGAAAGGAACCTTCAAAATGAAGAAACTCTTCAGAGTTCTGAAGCAATTAAGGCCAAGTCTTTAAACAAAGGTCGAGTGAATAGATAATGCATCCTCTTTAAATGGACAATCATCCAAGTTTAAAGTACAGTACATAAGTAAAGAGGACAAGATTATACCCGCCTAATTCAAATATAATTATTCAAATCCTGGACTCCTAAAGAAATGATAGAGAACATCATCTCAAATAATGAATTCTAAGAACATAAGTCTTGCTACAATGGCTTCCAGCTTGCATTTCTATAGGTATGGCTTAAAAAAATATATGTTTATAAGTCCATCCCTTTAATCCATTAGCTCTGCTACATCATTACTATGATGCTAAATACATATTACAATCCAAAGTGGCCTATGATTACCTGAAGATTCTCATCCTCCCGAATCAGCTGCTTCCTGGGAAAGATCTGATTGGCCTGGATGCACTCAAGACTGTGCCGAGTCTCTTCATCCTGAAAAAAACAAAAATTTTAAAATAAATAACTTCAAAAACTTCTAGTTATCTATATTTAGTTTTTCTGCCATGTCTTCTCACATAATCACAGTAAGAGCCCAATGACCAAGGCAAATAGGCAGGAAAATGCAAGAAAAAAATATTAATTCCCCAAACTATTCCATCAACATATCAACTGCTACTATGGTTTGGATAAGTGTCCTCCAAAGGTCCATGTGTTAAAGGGCTGGCCACCAGTCTGGTGCTACTGGGAGGTGGTAGTACCTTTAAAAGGTGGGGCCTAGTGAGAGGAAGTTGGACATAGTGGGATCTGCCATTAAAGGAGATATTGGGACTCCAGCCTTTGTGTCACCTTTGATTTTTATGTGAAATTTTCATCAATCGAATCTTGAAAGAATATTTAAGAAAAAGTAAAAACTAAATTTCCCAAATTTGAAACATGTGTGAATATCAGCCCTAATTTACTCTGCCCAATATTCCCAAATAAATCTATTTCTGTTAAGGAAATTTCAAAAGAGAACAAAAACTTCTCATCTAAATTGCACTACAATTTAATTCACATTTTAAAAAGTAATGTTACAGGAAGACCTAAAAGAAATGTAATCTGTTAGAAAGCCTGACTCAAAATGATAGTAAAATCTGTTTACACAGATTTTTGAGGAGAGAGGGGAGCAGTATTGGGAGTTGAACCCAAGACTTCATACATACATACATTTTTTTTAACACAACCATTTTTAAAACAGCAAAAACCACATCATGTTCAACTTATAACCACTATTTACTGAACATTTAGCACATGCTACTTATCACAATGTTATAAATCTCCTCAGGGTGGGGGGGAGTATAAACAATTCTTAGGATTAGAGTTGCTGTTAAATAAAACCATATTACACTACTTTTATCAGTGTGGTTCTTCAAGTCTGCAGATTCTCTGAGGTCAAAACCACCTTCACAATAATATTAAGGCATTATCTGCCTTTTACCTACTGTGTTGACACTTGTTCTAATACTGTAAAAAGAATAAGAAGGGTAAACTGAGCACCTTAGCACAATCAAGGCAGACATACCAATTTAACTAAAAATGACCTTGGAAAAGGCAGGAGAAAATTATATGAAATATTATGGTTGCTTCAAGGAAAAATATCTATGTGACTTTCAATTAACAATGAACTAGCCATTTTTTATGCACAATTTTTAATTGAAAGAATAACCGATGGACAAATTGTGGAAATTAAGACTTGGCCATATGGCAGATCTTTTTTTCCAAATGACAATATATTTTTTATGCAAAAATTACAATACTGGAAAACCTGTCATCTGCCACCATGAATTTGATAGCTTTCCAATACTCAAAAATTTTGTAATAAAATCAGTGTGATATATCAAATATGATTTTTAAAAATTCACTATATGTCAACAGTTGAAAGACCTGCATTGCATAATGAACCTATTATTTTCCTAATGACCAATGTATGATATTTTAAATCATGCATGGATAAAAGTGCAAGATAAGGGCTGGAGTTCAGGGGTAAAGTGCTTGCCTAGCACACACAATGCCCTGGTTTTGATCCCCAGAACAACATACCTGCCAAAAAATTACAAGACAGATCAAAAACGGTTAAAATAGAACAAAGAGGTTCACTTATAGTTTTAGATTCACACTGCAACTAAATTAAGGAACTACCACTTGTCAAGTTTTGGTGTAGTATTAAAAGAAAATACACGTGATTATCTAAAACACTTTTAAAATATTCTTCGCTTTTCTAACTACCTATTTATGTATGGCTGAATTTTCCTCACATTTGAAATAAAACATTTTAATAGATTGAATGTGAGAGTAGATATGAGAATGTGTCATCTATTAAACCAAGCATTAAAGAGATCAGAAAAATTACACAATTTTTGGATAATAAGTTATTTTTAATTAAAAATATTTATATTGCCATGTAATTTCTTACTTTTAAATGAATTTATAAGCATTTGGGAGATTTCTCAGCTTTAATTTCTATTACAGTAAACACAGCAAACATAACCCACATAAACAAGCCCTCGTGGGAGTCCTTAATAATTTATCAATGTAAAAAGAGATGCTGAGACCAAAGGGTTTCAGAACTGCTATTCCAGACAGCACTCTAATATTAAGTAACAATTAAAGCTGTATAATTTGAAAGGTCAAACTTGTCCCAAAACTATTCTCCTATTGTTAATCCATGACAGAAAAAGCCACTCAGAATTTAACAATGACCTCAACCATCATTCTAGCAATCTTTGCTACAAAATGACTAAACCATTTTATTTTGAGACATGAGCTTTTTAAGGGCCTTTTAAAAAAGATTGATATTTAAAATTTTTAAATAGCTTCAAATTATAAAAATATAATTTTACAAATGGTTTATAAAATGCTATGAAAAATTATGAAATTTCCATTATTAAATATACTTTTATTATTATTATAAAAAACTTATTTCCCTAGGATTACAAGCATCCCAGGATAATTGTTAAGAAACTGTAGCTGATAATCAAATAATTTTAAAAGCAAAATTATATATAAAAAAAAAAAACTTTTGTTTCTTATGTAGCCAAAATAAAAATGTTTAATGAGGGCTGGGATTGTAGCTCAATGGTAACGTGCTTGCCTAGTATGTGTGAGGCACTGGGTTCCATTCTCAGCACCACATATAAAAAAATAAATGAATAAAGGCCCATCAATAACTAATAAATTTTTTTTAAAAAATACTTAATTAAGTGATGCACTTTAATAAGGCTGATATGACAGAGCTTAGTGGTCTCGGAAAGAGTAATTACCTAAAATGTACTAAAGTCTGTAAATGGCTCCACTCCTATAAACACCAAAATAACTTATTAGATGAAAACTGTTGAATTATGTCCCATCTGATTCAAATGTACGATATGTCAAGGTCATTGTACTGTCATGTGTAACTAATTAAAACAAATTTAAAAATACAAAAAAAGAAAAATGTTGTGTTGATCTGTACTATTATGCCTTTCCACTCATTTCGTTTGAAGTCAATTAATGAGTAAAAGAACAGTGAGAAGTGATTTTTTTAAAAAAGAACCCACTTTTCTACCACAAGTACTGGCTTTAAAAAAAATCCTACTTTCATTATTAAAAGGTATCTCTTGACTTAAAGAAGGCTTAATGTTTACACTTAAAGGAAATAAAAGGAAAAGAGAGAGAATCCTGAATCAAGAAAAAATGTTCTCATGAACCAACAGGGAATAGGTAGGAAATGCTATAAAAGAGGGAAAGGGGACAGCTTTTAAAAATTCTTACCTGAAAGTACACTTTAAACATACCTTCTCAGCATCACATTAACTAGCTTTTTAACTCACATAAATGTATAAGGCCTAAACTTTTACTGTCTTTAAGATCATTTTACAGAGGCACTCATTATTTCTCTATGTGATTCCTTGACCCAGTTTTCCACTGACCCTCAAAACAGCTCAGAATTGAAATAATGTAGCAGGCTTTTTAAAAAGAGGAAAAAAAGGAAAAAGGAAAAAAAGGGAAAGAGAAGCCATTTACCTATTCATTCTTGCTAGCACACTCACTTTGGTGCTAATCCAGACTAATGTACCTAACCAAAGTAGCTACTGAACACTGAAAGAAAATTGTTTTCAGCATTTGAGAACTGACAATTAAGCCAGCAAGACAAGAACATGAAGTACTTATTTTCAGTTAAATCAAATACATGCTCTTTTTAAAAAATACTGCCTCAGCTCATATTACCTATAAGGCTTCAGAAAAATGTCCCCCTGGGCTGGGGTTGTAGCTCAGTAGTAGAAGTACTTGCCTGGCAAGTGTGAGGCACCGAGTTCAATTCTCAGCACCACAAATAAATAAATGAATAAAATAAAGCTCCATCAACCTCTAAAAAAATATTTTTTAAAAAAAGAAAGAAAAATGTCCCTCTTTACACAGAACTGCATTTAACCTCAAAGATTTAATTAACATTAGGACCAACTAACTAACTGCCTAATTTTATTATAGTCTCTGTGATTTTAAGGTATAAAAGGAAACCCAACTTGACACACTTAATAGGGAGGGAAACTGAGAAAAGGAAGAACTGGAAAGTAGTGGTGTGATAAAAAGCTGGGAACAGATTTTGCTTAGGCTATATGCACTTATTCATTAGTATTAAAAAATGCATTCCACATTGTTGATTTCCTGGTATTACGCAGGAATGCCAGGTGATGTAGAATCTGGTATTTCTTTGGCTCCACCTAGCTCTATAAAGTTAGAAGGATCACTTGCAAAATCCCAAAAAGGGATCAGTCAACCACAGTTTCAGGCTGGTTTCTGCTACTGGCTAAATTATGCAGGTAAGAAAGTTAAGTACATACTTCAGAGGAGAAGTCAACATTAAATATGAATATTTAAAGCACATAAGAGAAGACTGCTGACCAATTAAGTCCTATGAACTAAATCTATATATATAGTGTTCATGTTCAAAAAATGTAAAAGTAATCACCGGTCTTCTTACTGTCAGTATTGTCCATACATTATTCTTGGGGCTAGTATTTATAGTCATTGAAAATTTATTTCCCTTGCTATAATCCTTGAAATTTGGTCAAAACAATTCAAAGGGCTAGGAAGCACAGAGTAGGAATCAGATAAAACAAGTAGCCATAAACTGATAGTTACTGCAACTGATATGAGAGTTCACTACAAATTCTTTCCTCATATAGTCTATGCTTAAGATTTTCCATACTGAAAATAAAAACATCGTTTCATAATGCCTGGTCTCTCAAAGAGACTTAAATATCATTTTAGATCTTTTAAGATTACAAGAGGCAGGAGAGGATGTTACCTTCAGATTACTACAGAAATATACATCAAAAACAAAATTCAATGCTCCTTTCTTACACAAAACTAAGGATTAAGGATGTACAATCTGAATGTTAAAATAATATGGTATATTAAATATATACCATATGAGTGGATCAAAGGCTCAATAACTTGCAAGATATTATGTAGCTAGTAAAATGATCTTTAGAAATCCAGTAAATCAACATGGGAAAACGTTTAATGCATTGAAGAAATGAGAAAAAGACTTCATTATGTTATTGTAACTATGTATGTAGATATATGAATGACAAGGACTACTTAGGAAAACATACAACCATAAGTTCTGGTGGTAGAATTACAAATGAGAATTTTTAAAAAAATTTGTTATAATGTTTTATGTGGGGGGCAGGATGCACCACGGTCAAGCTGTTCCCCAACTATCACACATAGAGGTGTCTCCAGAGCGTTTCTGCAGCACAGGGGCAGGAAGTACACAAGGAAGATAGTTGGGCACCAAAGAGATCCCAGCAGCACCAAGAAGAGGATCATGCTATTTGTTTCTAGCTATGTGGTATAAGATGAAGGACAAAGTCTCCATATAGAACAGATCTGCTTTCATAAGCCCATAATTTGATAAACATTAGCATTGGCATAGCATAACATATAAATGCAAGGCAAGCACTTTTTCAATTAATTAAAAACAGACCCAGCACCACCAAAAAAAAAAAAAAACCTGAGACAGGTAGTAAAATAAAATGTAGTCTAGAGAATTAACAGTAAAAGTTCATCAATGTTTGGGTACAAGAAATTAGAAAGTTGTAATGCCCACAAACTAAGAAAAAAAGAGTCTACCTTTAAGAAGGGAACAGTTACCTTTCTCCTCTTTTTCACATGACATTTCTGCACAACTACCTTTTTTGTTTTGTTTTACTATGTTTTTAATTTTAAAAGCATTTTCCATACACATCCCTAATGAAGCTTGAAATTAACATGGTCTTTTCAATTCCTTTTTTGTGCACCAACATGAAACAGTTTGGATCTAGGAAACACCATAAGGTAGAAACAGGACAATATTACAGAAAATCATTTTTCTCTTAAGATCTGAAGTGTTGTTTATATGTCCTCAAGATTAATAAAAATGTAGTTGGCTTGTTGCTCCATCTTCTCTGCCTTCCCTGGACCCTAAATGGTCCAGAAATCACTGAACTGTCCATGATATGTTCTTTTCAGTCAAAGATTCAAGCAGGGGAATACAGATCTGCTGCCCTACTACCAAACCAAAATACTGCTCTGAAGAGACATAGATAGGCTAGGGATGTAACCCAGCGGTTGAGCACTTGCCTAGCATGTACTAAGCCCCGGGTCCAATATCTAGTACTGAAGGGCAAGAAAGGAGGGTGGGGGGAAAGAGAGCAAGACTCATAGGAAATATAGGGAATTGCTTTGTGAGGTAACGCATGTTAACTAGCTCAATGTAGCCATTCTACAATATATACACACTTCAAAGAACACTGCACACAATATACATAATTTTGTCAATTAAAAAAAGTAAAGACAATTCAAATGAAAAATCATTGTCACTATATCCTACTTCCTAGAAATTTCTTTTTTTCTCTTTTCTTTTTTCTTCTTTTGGTACTGAGGATTGAGCCCAGAGCCTTGGGCTACTACTGAGTTATACTCCAGCCCAGTTTCCTAGAAAAGGAATGAAAAACCTAGAGTCCAGGAACCATATGTTATTCTTTGGTTCCATTCACTAGCTAACTTAAAATGAGACTTAGTGTCCAGGTCACAGAATTCAAGTTAAGAGAAATGAAATTGCTCCATACAATGGAGTACCCTATCATTACTAATAATAAAAGAAGAGAGATTCTAGGGGAAAGAAAAATGATTTCTAACAAAAACAGAAATGGGTAAGTATGGATTAGTATTCAGCTGAATTGTCAGAATTGAGTTCAACTCCAATTTTCTTATTTCCTTATACTTACCATGACAGGAGGCCCAGATTAGGAGGAGAGATCCCCGTCCCTTCTTCAGTGTCTGGCAAAGCTCTTCTTTCTCTTATGCCGAGATCTTTTATTTAAAAGAGAGAGAGAGAAAGAGAAAAAGAGCAAAATTGGCAATAGTTTTCCCCTAATTGGTATATCCTAATTAAAGGGACTGCACATATACAAACTAAAAAACTGAACAGAATCACTCAAGAAAAAGTTGAATGTTACCCTGTCAGTTCTCACTAGTCAATTCCAAACTTGATAATGCCTTTGCAAAAATCTTTCTGGACTTAATCTAGTTCTGAAAAAAAAAGTAGCAAATGCTAACATTCTTACACTGATAGTTGTTAAAAAAAAAAAAAAAGGCTAAGTATTGGATGAAAGTAATAATTAAAATCAACCTGCAAATGAGAAAACAATATTCTTATAATTTTCAGAATGTTTGTATGGATCTTCTGTCTATGGGAAGCAAACACATTTAGCCAGCAAAATATGAACAACTTGTTTGTTATTCCAATATTCTATACTCACCTGTGCTAATACTTCTTATCTATCTATCTATCTATTTATTTATTTATTTTTGGAGGTACCAAGAATTGAGCCCAGACTGTTCTCTCACCAAGCTATACCATCACCCTTTTTTATTTTTTGAGATGGGGCCTTGCCAAGTTGCCCAAGCTGGCCTCAAATTTGTAATCCTGGCTTTTGGGGAGGCTGAAGTGTGAGGATCTCCCATGTACTACAATGCCCAGCTCCTCTTACCTGTTTTATTAAGAACAAAAAGGACAAAGGGGAAGAATACCCTACTCGAAATGCAAAGATAGGCTATTAAAGTATTATCTTTAGTAAGTTGCTCTTTTCTTTGAATAGATTAGTCTCATGTAATTCTGATTTGCTAAAGTTCAAAAAACAGAGGCTATCCTGGTTAATATTCAATATAAACCATATAAGACAGTGTAAATGACAAAACAGAGGACAGTATAAATGACAGAAAAGGGGACATCAAAGAAGTAGCAGGGTCCATATCATACAACGGTTTTGGGGTATTGTGAGCAAGAATAACATCAAATGATTTACTTTCAAGGATTATTCTGGCTAGTGAATCTAGGTAGGGAATAGTTTAGACTATTGGGAATGAGAAAGAAACAAAGAAAGAAACAGTTGGAAGGTAACTGCAATGATCCAGCCAAGAGACAAGGTAATAGTAATGGAAATGGTGGGACGTTGCTAGATTCTGGATATACCTTGCAAGTATCATCTTCAGGATTTGAGCTCATGAATTAAATTTAAAAGAAAAGGAAGTCTTTTTTTTTTTTTTTTTTTGCCCCAGCAACTGAAAGCAAGGATTTACGGATGGGGAACATCCATAGTGAAGAAACAAAGGAGAATCAGAAGTTCTACTTCAAACGTATTACATTTGAGATGCACATCAAATAACCAGTTGAAAATGCCAAGTAAAGTGCTAGATAAACCAGACTAGAGATCTAAAAGATGGAAATCAGAAATATTAATATAAATGTGGGAGACGTTAGAGTGTGAACAGCATTTAAGCTGTATAAGTATAAAGAGAGGCCATGAAGATCATGGACAGGAGCTTGATATAATCCATTGTTTAGAGAAAAGACCACAGGGTTCAGTAATAAGCCAAGTCACAGTCATCATTCTTGACATTCCTTCAAACCCACACTAAATCTTTGTGATTTGATAATGACCCAAATTGGCATAAAATTATTTCCTTTGTTCACTCCAATAAATATACTCAATATCTACTATATTCCAGGCATTGCTAGGCTTTAGAAAGACAACTGTGCATAAAAAGTCAAGAAGCGGTCTTCCTCAAGAGAAACAAACAGGATCTAATGTTAAGTAGTTAGCTAATAAACACTACAAAGAAAAGAGAGTTAAGGGTAAGAAATAACAGAATATGGTACTTGAAATAGGAAGTAAAGATGTTATAAGAGGGAAACTGTTAGAATTAAAAAGGAAAGAGGTATTATGCACAGTGGCCTACACCTATAAACTCAGCAACTCAGGAGGTTGAGGTGGGAGGACTGCAAGTTTGAAATCAACCTCAGCAACTTAGTGAGCCATAAAAAAAAACAATGAGGGGCTGGGGATGTGGCTCAAGCGGTAGCGCGCTCGCCTCGCATGCGTGCGGCCCAGGTTCGATCCTCAGCACCACATACCAACAAAGATGTTGTGTCTGCCGAGAACTAAAAAATAAATATTAAAAATTCAAAAAAAAAAAAAACAATAAAAAAACAATGAGCCAGATGTGGTTATGCACACCTGTAATCCCAGCACTCGGGAGGTTAAGGCAAGAGGATCGCAAATTCAAAGCCAGCCTCAGCAAAAAAGCCAGGCACTAAGTAACTAAATGAGACCCTGTCTCTAAATAAAACATAAAATTCGGCTGGGGATGTGGCTCTGCCCCCAAATTCAATTCCTGGTACCCCCACAAAAAAATAATTATGAAATTCTATCATTTGCATTAATATGGATCAAACACAGAACATTACTTTAAGTGAAATAATTCTGACACAAAAAGACAAATAATGCATATTCTCACTTACACGTAGAGACTCTAACAAGTTGATCTCCAAGAAACAGACAATAGAATAATGGCTAACAGAGCCTAAAAGGTGAGGGAGAGAGGAGAGAGGATGTTTAACAGATATACAGAGGTAAAACTAGATAGGAGGAGGAATAACTTCTAATGCTCTATAGCACCATATGGTAATTGTGGTCAACAACAGTTGATTATATCAAAATAAAGGATTTAGAACATAAAGTTCCCCCCCCACAAAGAAATGATTAATGTCTGAGGTGATAAATGTCAATAATAAGTCTGATCTGATCATTACATATTGCATACATGAACTGAAATATCACACTGTACAGACTATACTCCATAAGTATGTTCAATTACTATGTGTCAATTTAAAAATACATATGTTGAGACTGTTATGGAGAAACATTTTAAAAACTTGAAGTTCTGGACATCACAAAACCAAATTTATTGTTTATACAATAAACACCAATGTGCACTCTGTGACTTTGGGGGGGGGGGCGGGGGAGGCTGTAATATAGATTGAACCCAGGCTAAGCAAGCACTCTATCATTAGGCTACATCCCTAGCCCCACCTACTCACCCATCCCCCTTTTAATTTTTACTTTGAGACATGGTCTTGCTATGTTACCAAAGCTAACCTTGAACTTGCAATCCTCCTGCCTCTACTTCCCAAGTGGCTGGGACTACAGGCTTGCACCACAACACCCAGCACATTTAGTGTCCTTTAAGGTTTATTTTTTTCCCCAGGAAAAAAAATGCACAGAAAACTCATACAGGCATCACAGAGTAAGATGACCAGCTGAACTGTAATCATCTAGTGACAATTCACTAAAATTAAAATTCCAATTACAAAGTAAATTGTTGTAAGAATTGTAATGCATTCTTCTGTCATATATAAATAAAATAAATTTAAAAAGTAAACTGCTGATCAGCAGTTACATCATATATGCATATGCTAACTTTACAGTTAAGGCTAAATTTTTAGTTAAGCATGGAAATAATCACAATGAAGATTGTGATTATTTCCATGCTTAACTAAAAATTTAGCATTAAAAGACTAAATCAATTTAAAAAGTCTTCATCCAGAAGTGATGCCTTTGATTTCTGTACCAAATAAAGACTTTGAAAACAGCGAACTACACTGCAGGCAGTCAAAAATTACCCAAGAACCTATGTCAGATAGTTTGATATGTATTGGTTCTTACACTAATGCAATTTTTGTTCCAATGACAGACAGAAAAAGATAATAATTACAAAGTATGTTAAATGTGATGAAGGAAACAATTAGGATGCTGAGACAAAGAATGAACAAGAGGATGCAAGAGACTGACTACATCAGAAAAGCTGGCTGGGATGTGTGTATGGGGGGGGTGTGAAACTTCTGGTATAGATAACAGCATAGTATTCCAGAAAGACTGACATATTTGAAGAACTAAAAGGAAGAAATCATTCTAGCTAAAATATATTGAATCAGAGTGAAAGTAGCCCAATTTAAAGTTGAAATGTATAAGGAAAAGATCATGTAAAGATTATATTCCAAGCACAACAGGATACCATTTACAGGTTTTAAACAGAAGAGTGATATGAAGATCATGCTGACTACTGTGTGGTGACTGGATTAAAAGACGGAAAAAATAAAGAAGACAATCGGGAACCATTACAGGAAGAGGATGGTGTTTTGATTTAGAAGAGTGGAAGTACAGACAGAAGAAAGACAAAGATCTGAAAGGTATTTTGGAGTATAATAACATAACAAAGGTAAAAACATGGATGTAGGGGTTAAGGGAGAGTGGAGAATTTACAATTCAGGAAAGAAAATAAGTAGATAAAATAAAATCAGAAAATCGGAAGTGCTGCTTTAAGAATTTGAGAAAAAATTAAAATTGCCATAGGAATTCCAAATTCACAAGTAAAAGCCAAGAAGATCATGGGTAAGTCTGCAACCAATCTGAATTAAGAAGTTTTTAAAGGTTCCTTTTAAAACTACAAAGAACAGTCATGAACAATCCTTAGGAAATATTCAAGGGTTATTGTAACACCTCACTTGCATAACTTGGGCCACATTGTGGTAGTTATACTTTCACCACAAAAGGAAGAAGTTGAATCATTACTGTTAGTCTGATAAACAATTAAGACATGTGAATTTGCTTAGGTCTAATAGTAATGGATGGTCCATGTAAGAAATTTTAAAAATAGCTATAAAAGGTAAACAAATACCCTCTTATGATGCTGGTAGGAATATAAAATGGTGCAGCCTCTTTGGAAAACAGCCTCATATTTCCTCAAACAATAAAATAGATTTACCAATTGACCCAGCAATAGCAATCCTAGTATTTATCTGAGAAAACAAAAAAGTATGAACACATAAGAACTTATACACACGTTCTCAGCAACATTACCGAAATAACCAAAAGGTGGAAACTATTTGTTCAACTATATGAACATTTGGATTAACATGGTATCCAAACAATGGATTATTGTTCAGTCTTGGAAAGAATGAAATATTGATAAACTTTGAACACATGATAAAAGAAGCCAAACACAAAAGACTACATGCCATAGCAGGATTATGTTTACATGAAATGTCTAGAACAAGGAAATTCTATAGAGATAGAAAATTAATTAGTATTTGCTTAGGGCTGGGAGAGATGAAGGGCAAGAGACAGTGACAGCTAGGGGATATGAAGTTTCTTTTCTGAAGTGATGAAAATGTTCTAAAATAGGCAAGTGATGGCTACAGAATTTTGTGAATAGTGTATTCACTGAATCATATACTCTACATGGTGAACTACACAGTATGTGAATCTTCCCCCCCAATCCCACAAACCATCTTGGGAATCAAACCCAGGGATTCTCTACCACTGAGCTACATTCCCAGCGCTTTTCCATTTTTATTTTAAAACAAGTCTCACTAAACTTCCCAGACAGATCCCAAACTGGCAATCTTCCTGTCTTGTCCTCCAAAGCAGATGGGACTATAGAACCACACTCGCCAGAATTATATTTTAATAACTGCTTCTTAGAAAAACAAGAACCAGCAAGATTTTTTTTTTTTTTTT